CAGATAATTTTAGGAAGTTTTTGGATGCTGTTAAGAGATTTTGTTTGACTGAAGGCAAGGAAATTTGTAAATAAGGTAAGTGGATATTTCCTTTGTGTAGTGCTAAGATGAATTTCCTTTCTTATATTATTTCATTCTTGATTTAATATGTAGTTTATTGAGATTATATATTTTTTTGTTGGCTGCTCCTTTGTCTTTTTAAGTGAATATAGAGTATGTGTACATGGACAAAGTCAAGTAAATGCGCAGTACCTTGTTTGTGCAATTCTCTGTTTTTTAATGTGAAAATAGGTCAATGTGTACATGGATACCAAGTTTGTGCAGTTCTTTGACTTCTTATTTTGGATTAATGTAGCAGCGCTATACAAATCACCACTATACAAAGCCAAAATAACAAGTCAAAAGAATTGCACAAACTCGGTGTCCGTGTATCGCCAAGGAGCATCCGCAATATATTTTTACCCTTTTAGGTTTTCTTATAAAATTCAAAATTAATTTTAAAGGGCAATAAAGGTATACTGTATTTAATAATATAACATTACTAGGAACTACTCTTATATGCACCCTCAGGTCGCCAAATTTCTCGCCAAACATTTTTAGCGAGAAACTCCACGCTGCCATATTACTATCTAAATTTTTTGTCTACGTTTCCAACTCCAAAAATGTGGTTTTCTCACATACAAAAACCACGTGTTGAACACACAATTTAAGATAAAAATCCGAAACAAAAACAAACAATTTAGATAGCAAAAACGAAGAGTTTCTAACCAAAAATATTTGACAAGAATCCATGTACACAGTAATATTTTAACATCTTTGAATTGCACAATGTAGGCGACAAACGAATCTACGAACTACGCACACCGCGCTTTAATAAATTAACATAACAACAATAAATTTCAAAGAATACCATCTACACAGCATCCTGTTAAAACTTTAAAAAACATCTACGAATTGCACAATCTAGGCATTGCGCACAGATCAACCAAATAAACTAAACTAAATTACAAACAATTCAAAAAACAACAATAATTCATAGTAAAAAAACAATGAACATAACATTCTACAAAATAAAAACAGTAAAATAAAATGCACTTACCATAATACATTCCTAAATAAAATTTCGCCAGTCACACAATGTCTCTGAATAACAGTGCTGCAAATCCACACAAGAGCTATCAGAAACGCCCTTCTTCGTACGAGTTATCATAGCAGCCCCGTATTTTGGACTCCGTTTTAAAAGTCACACAGAAATTCCAAAAATACACTTCAATCCTCATAAACATACACGTGAAGAAAAGACTCATTAACAACTCCAAGATCATACCTTTTAACACTAAATTTACTTTTCCACACGATGTAAAATACGCAACTGAAATCTTCCCACCACATCTATCATTGCAACATAGGCCATTTCAAAACACGCACGACACGAACCAACGAGCAATTAAACCACTCCAGGAAAAGATTTTTCAACATCAGCAGGGCTGCCATACAACACACAATCATGCCAAAAACCAGCACAGAACACATATTGCAACATTTGGTGAAATTAGGGCTCATATAAGAGTAGAGCCGGAACTACTCTTATATATGCGCTCAGTTGGCGACAAATTTTTTGCCAAGCATTTTTGTCGAGAAACTCCATGGCGCCATATTACTATCTAAATTTTTTATCTACATTTCGAACTTTAAGCCTAAAATGTCTGCTGTTTTTGCAGATGCAAAAACCATGTTTTTAATGCGCAATTTACGCCAAAAATGCTGAGACGCTGAGACACAGAGCATACAATGTCCAGCATACACTAGTGAATAAAATCAGCATAAACTCACATGTGAACAAAAGACTTGTTAACATCGTAACTTTTTTTATACTAAATTTGCCTTGCACGCAATCCAAAGCATGCGACTGAAATTTTGCCACCACATCCTTCATTGCAACATAAGCCATTTCAAAATGCCCGTCAAACCAACCAACCACTCTAGCAAAATAAACTTTTAACGTCAAAAGGGTTGCTATACAAACAACATCATGCCAAAAACCAGTGCAGAACACATACTATTTTGCTGTGATATTTTGTTTTCAAATAGTTGGTAAATTCAACTTTGACTCTTAAAAGTATTTCGAAAATATTTCTGAAAATTAGAACATTATTGATTTTTAGTTAAGTATGGGTTAAAGATGTTTTCAGCCTTTTTATAAATATTTTAATACTTTCGTTGTATTTTTGATTTTTTGTTTTATTGTAATATTTTTTATTGTTATGCTTATTTATTGTTATTATAATGGTAGTTTTATGGTTTATTTTGTTTTAATGTAATTTGTGGCCATAAGACTTGTATTAAATGTTTATTTATTGCATAGAATTATAGATCTTTTAATTCTGTATGCAACAATTTTGGAATTGTAAAAATAGCTCACTCAAGATAAGGAAATTTTATATCCAAGGGGCTGTCACCAAGTTGGCAACTTTCTGGAATATTCACAAAAATACATTTCTGAAGCACTACGACTGATTCTTCCTGAAGTTTCCAGAGCCCTGCTGCAGAGTACAAATATGGATGAGAAAGCTTGGGAGTTCAGTAGTAAAACAGTTATGAATCAGTTATGAGATTTAGCGGTTAGCTGAACTGCGAGTTAGGGTTTATCCTGAGAATGATCTATGAAGCTTTATGATTTATTTCGTGTATTAAGGAGGAATTGCTGAATATTTATTTGCATTTCCTTGAGTTACGCTGCTCGACATTGAAAATGCAACACCAAGAAGGAGTGGTCAGAAAGTGATGAAATTTGGAACAAAGACAGAGACAGCAAGCAGCAATAAATGATCTTTATTTCAAAATGATAGTCAGAATACAGAGCGAAAACGGTATCGGCTCAGTAGGATGTAGAACCACCACGGACAGGATTGCACGAAGAAACACGTCTAGGCATAGAGTCAATAAGAGTGCGGATGGTGTCCTGAGGGATGGCTCTCCATTCCCTTTCAACCATTTGCCACAGTTCGTCTTCTGAACGAAGCAGGGGCAGAGCCTGCAAACGGCGTCCAATCACACATCCCACCCATGTTCGATTGGTGATAGGTCAGGAGAGTACGGTGGCCAGGGAAGCAGCTGTATACCTTGCAGAGCATGTTGGCAGATGCGAGCACTGTGTGGTCAGGCGTTATCCTGCTGAAAAATTGCATTAGGCAGCCCCTGAAGGTAGGGGATTGCCACTGGCCGCAGTACATTATCTAAGTATCGTTGGGCTGTCATAGTGCCTTGAATACGAACTAGAGGTGACCTGGAATCATAGGCAATAGTGCCCCAAACCATTATGCCACATTGTCGCACGGTGGGGCGTTCCACAGTTACTGCCGGATTAGATCTGTCTCCATGTCGACGCCACACACATATGCGGCGACTGTTACCGCATAAACAGAAGTGTGACTCATCTGAGAACACGACGTTTCGACATTCTGTCATCCACATCGCTCCAGTCCGGCATCATTCTAAACGTTGGCGTCTATGCTGTGGGGTCAATGGCAGTCTTCTTAACGGACGCCGTAATACAGGCCACGTTCAACCAATTGACACGAAATGGTTCTGGTCGATACGGGAACATCCAGGGTGTCTTGCGCATGCTGCAGAATCGCGGTACAAGTTACTTGCGGGACCGCCACTGCTTGTTGGCGGATGCGTCGATCGACGCATGCTGATGTCACTCTGGCTGCACCTGCACAAAATAAGGAATTCAGGGAAATAAGGAGTATTTCTCATTTTTTAAGCTGCTGTATTCAGGACAAGCTAAGATGATTGAACTAGTTATAAATCACACTAACTTGTTTATTTACATAGGTTCACATTCATTTACTATTTTAATTTTTTTTTTCTATACTTCACAAATGTTCTTATTATTCTCTTCAGTCATATAGACTGCATTTTATGCCATACTTGATGAAAGATACTTGTCATTACTAAAACCTATATATTTGGAGTGTATAATCTGCAAGGTTACATTTTTAGGTTTCTGTTTAAAAATATACCAAAATGCTTTTTTTGTTGTGTATAGTTTCTAGTTAATGCAGTAAGTTAACTTTCGGGATGTTAGAGTCATTTTGCTCGAATGGATTGCATAACAGTTGCTTCCTTTGTTCTGTCTTGTACAAAACACATAAATACTTTTCATGTTTTTTCTTTAATATTTTTTTTATTATTATTAACATATAAGCTTGAATTATAACTTTAAACACAGTAACAGAAATAGGCATCCATGATGCACACTATTATATAAAACAAATTTCCTCATAATGCATGCATACTAAAGCATAAGTATGCTTACTGGAATTTTACATTCATATAATGTATTTATAATCAGATGGATGTTTTAATTGATTTCATTTACTACACTGATAAAAATATGCTTATTTATTTTATATTCAGACTAAACTTTTTGCAAAAATTGGAATTTACCATCATTGGAGGCTCAAGTCTAAAATCTTTGAAAAATTTACTGTACAAACCAAACTCTGTTTTCTTCTGAAACACTTGGGTCAGAAATCTTCCCTCCATGGAAACATCTTATTTCAACTGATAATGTCATCTTCTTATGCTTGTAATACTTGGGAAGAGTATATTTTTAGTGGTTACAAAAATTCTCTGTGTTACAACAACAGAATGTCACTTTTCAGACTCCAGGTTATAAAATTCCTTTTTCAGTGTAGTTACCATCTTCTTTTTGCCTTTAGTACATCTGGAGTTCACTAACCTGTGTTACCTTGGGAATGTAATTGCAACTAGTAAAATGCTAAACCTCCTCCTTTATTTTATAAGATTATGTACCCTATATTCATGTAAATGAGCAAGTTATGATCATTTGTAATTAGGTCAGTTATTTTAATCTATTAAATCTCTAACACCATTATGATTACTAAACTAGCAATTTCTTGAAATTATACAATTGCTTGAAATTTTTTTCTTGGAACTTTAACTGCACTAAAAAAAATTTGTTTCCTCAGCAAAGCATTTTGCACTTCAGTGGTACACGCCTACATGCGAGGTGACTCTTTGTGGCCATGCAACTCTAGCTTCAGCTGCAGTCCTTTTTTCTGTGTACAGTAAGTATATTTAATCCTAGTTCATGTAGAGTAATAAAATTTAAAATGAAGTAATTGATTTTTATGTGCATTATTTGCTTTTATTTAAATTTATACTGTATGTAATTAAAAATCTCTGAAATCATGTAGTTTTCTGACAAAGTTATTAAATTTTATTACTAAAATTGGCAATTAATATTGATCTGAAGAATTTTAGTTTCTCATTAAAAACCTTACATGTTGACATTTTTTGTATAAAAATGTAATAGGTTCCCTCCTTTCCTTCTATCAGGGTTGCCACGCTACCTGGAAAACTGGAAAAGTCAGGGAATTCGAAAATTGACCAAAAAATTCAGGGAAAAGTCAGGGAATTTAAATATTTTAGTCAAATCTGGAAAAGTCAGGGAATTTCATATGGTGATCCCCCCAAAAAAAGCGAGTTTTGCGCCGATGTTGGAAGCGATCACATTCTTGGCGAATTGTGTATCCCATGAGCGTAATTTGGGCACCTGGCATAGAGCCAATATTCACAGCTCCAATTAGATTGTCTTTTAGAAAGACACTGGCATAGAGCCAATTTTCGCAGCTCCAATTAGATTGTCTTTTAGAAAGGCAAAGCAAGTTTCCAGCAGCTTTGCTTTCCAGTAAACTAGAGAATCGCATGTGCATGTGCAGTGCATGTTGAACTAAACAAAATACTTATTCTTGTATAAAACAAAATCGGTTTAATCCTAGTATATGGTTTAATCCTAGGTACCATGGATGTTAGAATCAAAGAATATATATTCTTAAGAAGGAAAAACTTCTCTGCAAAAGGAGTGTCTCCGTTCCAACATAGAGGGAAACAGCTGCGTGCGAAATATCTGTCCTCGAAGCCTGTGTCGGAGTTCGAAGGTCACTTTATTAAGAGTTCGTAAAATGAATATCATCCAAAATTTCGTTAAACTTTAAAAGAAAAGAAAATATTTTTTTCTCGCAAGTAAATTCATTAATGGATTAGTTATTTTGAGGGAGGGAAAAAAAAAAACCATACGAAAATCTGTGTCTAAATTATTGCGAAAAATCAAAAAAAGAAACCTTTTGTCAAGGAACATTTCTTCTTAACAACAGTTTCTTAATTTCCTGTACACATGGCGGAGAGGGAAATTCTGGCAGCCAGGTTTCGTCGCCAAGTCCCTTGGTGAATTTTTCCTCCGCTTTCTAGCGGTGTAATAGCATTACGTCTATGGAACCTTTCCTTCTTTACATAGACGTTCTTTGGTTAGAATAACCTCCATGTATTCTGTTCTAACCTCCATGTACGGTACCCCCGGGATTTGGTAACATTATGCTGAGCAGTAAAACGGGTCATTTTGGTGTTGGTGACAATTTTCAAAATCGTGCCAAGGCCTTACCATATACTAGAATTTCACCCCAAAATGTTTTAAATCTTTTTTTTTTTTTTTCCTTTTTAATAAATGCCCTATTTGTTATTTTGTAGTAAAATAAAAAAATAGTAATCAGTCGTCTAGGCTAACCAATTTAATATAACTATATTCGCTAAAATATCGTTGATTATTCTAATTCAATATTTAAGTAATTAACTTTATTTTTATGTTATTCATATCATTTAATGTTGCTTCTTCCCTCTAAATTTATTTATTATAATTAAATAATACTTTCAAATTTCAGAAATTTTTCTCTGGCGTAATCCTGAAATTAATTCTAGCAGTATGATGCCATACCATCATGAAATTTAATGCACATATTTTTTGCTTATGTATGCTGCTAAATAATTATAAAATACCTAAATTTATTTAAAAATATCATTAAATAGATTTATTTCTTTTGTTTAGCTGCAAAATATCTGCAAAAAAAAAGACTTTTTTAACCCTTTAACTGTCAAGTTATTTTGATGATTTGGGTACACAAATTGTCAAATTTTTTTATTGGAAAAACCAAATGTAGCCGAAATAAACATCTCCCGATATATATTCAGGTATGACAATACGATGCACTCAAAAGAAAAAAATTACCCCGAGAAATACTCGGGCGTGACATTTTCGAACACCAGTGCTATAATGATGCCGAGATATGTGCCCGAGATAATCTCGGGCATGACAGTTAAAAGGTTAATCCAGATTGGGCAGATTCTAATCTCAATCTTCAGTGGAGAAATCAACTTCTATTATAGTTATAATAGTAATGCTTTGGGAATTATATATATAGTACTAGCAGCTTCGCAGCCAGCCTTCGTCTGGCTTTTAAATGTACCGGAAAAATGGCTGAAGGGAACACCAAATGTTAAACTTAAAAACTGCGTAGAATTTTACTCTGCAGAACAACTTCAGAAAAAAAGTTATTACCTATAATAAAATTACAATAAATAATAATAGCAATATCCCTTAATACAAATATTAATTATCCTAATAAATAAATTAACCAACTTTCCCTTTGCAAACTCGTAAGAACTCAAATGGTATAAAGGAGATTAAGAACTTTGTTTCTTAAAAAAATCACTCAAAACTTTTATATATATTAAAAACAGTGAAATTAGCAATAAAAACATAAAAGAATACAAAAAAACAAAAAATTCTGAAAAGGAAAGTATAATTAATGATATTTTATCTTATATTTTCCACGAGAAAAAAAATACAATGAAATAAGCTATATCCCTTAATACAAATATTAATTTTCCTAATAAAAAAATTAACCAACTTTCCGTTGAAGAAAAAAAAAATCATGCAAAACTTTTCAATATCTTACAAACAGTGAAATAAGCAAAAAATAACATGAAAGCAACTAAAAAAGCATAAAATTCTGAGCAGAATTTTACTCTACAGAACAACTTAATAAAAAATCAATAAAAATGTATAATATATATAAAAAAATGACGACATATGCCAATCTTAAAAACAGTGACATAAGAAACACGATGAAAAATTGTTGCCAAACCCATATTTCTAAAAGAATGAAAGTATTCAAAATGATACGATTTCATCAAAAATCTATCAACAACAATAAGAAAGGAAAATTGTTGCCAAAATCACATTTTTAAAGATGTGAGATGTGAGAAGTGTACTCAGAAGCTTCATTTAAAAAAAATTTTAAAAATACAAAATATTATCATTTTTCCAAAATTCTTTTTGCAAAAGCAGTTGCAAGGATGAAAGTTTAAGGTGTCCAAAAAACAAAGAAAAATAAACTGTACATTTTTTAAAATAAACTTTTTTAGAAAACATTCCATTGAAAAGGTGTTAAGCTCCCTTTGTTAAATAAATTCATATTTAATCGATATATTGAAACACGAAATTTATTTTAAGTTCATAAAATAGCTAAGTGCCTACGTTTCATGACGATGTGAAAATGGAGTGTATAGAATAAAATCTCGCTTTCCTATAGCCCATTATGTCTCAAAATGATGCAATTTCGTCACAAAACATAAAATAAAAAAAATTCGAATTTGAATTTCAAAAAAATCGCTTCGAGGTGCACTGGCTCTTGTCTAGGTGTACCTATGTACCAAATTTCGTAGCCGTGCTTCTATTAGCTTACGCACAGCACGAACGAAAGACGCACACACACACAGACATACTCTTTATTTTATTATACATATATTGTAAGTCATACGTAATTGGCAAATTTGTGTGTTTTCAAGTAATACCATAATTAATTTACCTCTTAGCATAGCCAACGTGTGTTATGTGGATAGACTGGAATTTTCTTAAAACACACCTGGAAAACCTGGAAAAGTCAGGGAATTTCATTCTCCTGTTTGAGTGGCAACCCTGTTCTATGCAAACTGATATGTTTGTAAGTTACTGCAAAACAAAATAATGTGAAAAGATGAATCTTCAAGAGAAACGTGAAAATTCTTGGCCAGTAGTGTTGCAGAAGAAAAATATATATATATATATATATATATATATATATAGTTTTCAAAAGTTCACAAGAATTAAATGTGCTACATTCGAATGACTTCTGTTTGTCTGGTGCTTATTTGATTTTATCTAGCATTTTATGATGAAGAAGCATGTTCAAAAAGTTGGTAGATATGATGTGTGAGGGAATGTCTCTTGTTTGTGGCTTTTGTGAATTTTGTCTCTTTGTTGGATGTGAAATAATTATGAGGTGAAAAGACCATGAAAACAGTATTGCAAACAGAATTCGAGAAAGTTACATGAACATATTGGTATATTCATTGTCAAAATATTTGTTGCAGATCATTTGGGCAAAATTATTGTTTTCAAGAATGAATTAATCATTTTTATCTTTTCCTAATACAGTGGGAATCTAGGGAAAGTGAAGTTGTATAAGATGACTGTAATTAAATACTCAAAACTGTGTAGAAATTCTTCTATTATCCTGGCATATTGCATAGGCCCTTTGGATCATTGGATTTATGAAGCCAGTTTATTGTCAGTATTTAATCACAGACTTCTTTAATGATATGGAAGTGATTTTTGTACATTTTATCTATAATTTATCAAGTTTTTGTCATGATACTGAACCAGTTCATCTTTGTCGGTTCATTTCCATCCACTTATGAATGTTATTTGTCAACTCTACTCACGAAAAATAAACTGCCACACTCACTCAGGTTTAACAGTAACAACATGAGCTATATTTTCATTCTTGAAATACAAATTATCTTTTCACAAAGTATTTTCACAATTATATCGAATGCACAACTAATACATTTCACCTTTCAGTTATTAAAAAAAAAAAAAAAAAAAACCAAAGGAATACAGAAAAATAAACCAAGTTCTTTCAATAAGTTCTTTCACACGAGCGTGTCGTACTTCTCACCTCAATCACACTTCTTCTTTATTGCCAGGTTTTCCCTCTCTCCTTTCAGATAGAGGTCATCAACTTAACTGTTCTTCTAGCAGGGCTGTGTCAGTAGCTTCTCCTTACCGCGTATGTGCATGATACTCCCCTGCCAAGAATGAAATTTGTTCTTTTTTTTCATTAATCAGTAACCAAGCAAATTTTCTGTACACTACTTTTACACAATACAAACCTTGTACAGTATTAAATAA